CCCTTCTGCTTGCTGGGAAACATTCAACAAAGAGGCATTCTGGAATCTTCTTGGCACCTCCAAAATCATAAGGTTAAATCCAAATACCAAACTTTTGCAAAACTCTGGCTGCTAGTTCCCAAATGAACAACTTATCTCAAGATTCCTATCGCCCAATGCACAATATGGTGACATGCAATTCAACAGACCAGACAAAAAAATCCTCAAAATGTACCCCCAAAAAATGAATGCCAAAATATCATCAAACCACTGTAAATACTAGTGCAAGCCGAAAAAATGTGGACTTTTTTTTTTGGGGGGGGTAGCATATATATATATATATATAGTTGTAATACACATATATATATATAGATATTATAAACATGATATCGACAGATCCATATATCGATTGGATCCATAAATCCATGATCTATAATAATATACTCCTTTACTCTTAGAGGCCTTTTTGGCCTTGCTCCCCAGTCTTTTCACTCACCAAGGCCCTCCCCAAACAAGGCGCCCGGTTGCCTCACCCTGGTCGCTTCTCCCGCCCCGGTCGCCTGCGTCCGAGGACTGCCTTAAAGGTGACGTACGACGCAGAGGGGCGACCGACGACGCACTTTCCGCCACTGGGTGGAACAAAGTCGTATTCAGAAACTGCGCTGTATTTAGACACTAGTCTTTAGAAACTATTTCGTTGTATTCAGAATACAACCGTCCAGTTTCTGAATACAGCCGCGACCGATCTCGTGACGGTCGCAGTGTTGACATGTGTTGACACATGGACGGTCGCTGTGTTTTCAGGGTCCCCAAAACCTGTTCGAGAGGGTCATGATGTATAGGCATCAGCGGGTTCAGTTCATCTTTGGCAGTGTAAGATGGTGTAGCAGGTGCAAAAAGGTCTGCAAACTTTCGGGGGTATTGAGATGCTTGGATACTTGTATTTTGTCCTCCAACGTGCCGGGTGCTGAAACTTTGTGCTTAAGGCTTAAGGGTGTGGAACTAGTGCCTTGCCCTTGAGAGCCTCATAGGTCGCTCTAGCATGCGGCCTGGCCTCTCTTCCTGAAACACCTGGTGTAAATTCTATTTTGCAGGGTGGCCTGCAGACATGCTGCGCAGAAAGTCAGCCAGAGTTTAATAAGTTGATCAAACTCTAGTCAAGCTGTCAAACTGAAACTATTTTTTATCATTTTTTCTCTCTGATTACAACAGCTTCCCAAGTTTTTCCAAGCAAGAGCAATCTGAAGTGTTTTTATGTGTTACTAGTACTGTAGCTTCTTGTTCCTAGTAGCGATGGCCTCCAACCTACTTGCGATGGCCTCCACCTAATAACGTCCTTCCTACTAGTTTTTATTTTCATTGATTGCGCTTGTCCACGGTGGCGGATCGCCTTTTTCCTCGCTCCATGTGCTCAGTTCGGTCTCCCTGAGGCCTGACACTGGAAGCACGCCAGCAAACGGCGGCTGACAAAAAGGACACGGGCGACACCATGGCGAGAACTGCTGGCTGTTTGCCCAGATGTCATTCAAAGGAATTTTCACAGATGTATTGGTATAGATGATCCAACAAAGCCACAACGTACTTTGAGCATTTTTGAGCGGATTTCTAGCTTGTGCAATAAGATGGGTACGATTCCAGGGATTGTGTGGTGTACTGACAGGATATACTTTGACATACTTTGACAATGTTTAACATGTTTTGCCAATTCACACGTACACCCGTGGTTCCGTGGCGCCCGTGGCACGAGTGGCACGAAGGCCATGCCGAAGTCACCCAAATCACTCGACCTGGAGCCCCCAAAAGTGAAACCGATGGACCTCCCCGATAGACCCGCGGGTCATGGCACCGTTCGCGATCGTGCCATGACCCACCGGTAAGCCTGATCGGTTCGTTCGGATCGGCACTGATCACGTGATCCTCAGATTGCGGGGATCGTTCTCCAGGCACTGGAAGGATTTCTGGTGGAAAAAAGCGAGATGTTCAGTTTCACTGCCAGGTACATTGTCATACGATTTTCTTTCCGTATGCGGGATGAACTAAAGCCAATTTTCCATCAAAGACACTACATCAATGTGTGCTGCCAGGAAGATCAATGTTCATTTGTATTTGCCATTGGAACAACGTTTATCTTATCACACTGTTCGAACCTGCGGATGACGTCCAACCACGAAACACCGAAGAAGCTGTGTGGCGCCGTGGCTTCTTCGGCTTCAGCATCCACGACGCTTTGACATTGAAGCGGCGCAAGATCAATGATGGGTGGACTTTGAGACCCCAAATTGGATGCAAATTATGGGTGTTTTTCATCATCGCCCCGACACTTCATGTCAGACATTCCTCCCCTGTGGAACCCTCTGCTTTTTAGACGAAGGCATATTGTGATGCATTCCACGACTTGCGAAGAACTTACGGAATCACGAAAGGTCACTCTTCCGCTTCAAGAGTGTGGGACACCTTCTGCCGTTTTGTTGTCCGAACAACTGAAACTGCACCACAACTCACCCTATGCACTGCATGGTGCGCAGGGGTTTGCAAGAAGTTGACGTTATATAATGCATAGAGATACATGTTGGGATATGTTGGGTTTGTGTGGTGTAAAGAAGAAGGAGGAGGAGGAGGAGGAGAAGAAAAAACAGAAGCCTTGACCTGGATGTACATGCCAAATCTAAGACCCTCCAAAGGATGGGACACTTACTGTTTAATGCCGAAGGGGGGAAGCTCTGCCACTCTGCCTCAGAAGGTTGTGTTTGGATGCACATATATGGCCAGGTGCCTCCACCTTTGTATGCATTTTGCAGTGCTTCTCACTCCAAGGCACGTTGTCTATACAACAGGGATTCATGCCTTTTACCTACATTGCGATGGTGCCCACGCTGGTTCAATCAGCGCAACAGGCGCCTGCGCCTCTTACTTGTATTGCCATTGCGGTGTTCCGCACAATTGTTTAGTTCGATGATATAACTACTCTGCAACATAGGTGTCCACACTTTCTGTTTAAAATACCAGCATAGACCCCAAGCAGCTTAGTCGGCAAGAATGGATGTCGTGGTGGTGGGTGGCCGCAGCTCCCGCCCTTGCCTGGGAAAGCAATGTAAATAGCAGGACAACAGAGGACAAAAGGATGAGGGAAGGGAAACGAAAAGATTATGACGGGAGGGGAAGACGAGGACATACGGACAGGGCTTGTCGGCACGGCCTGACACTGTGGCCTGTTGTTTTTCCCACAAGAGAACCTCACATGAAGACATGAAGAGGACAACAGGAGGTGGACATAGGCTTCTGGGGTTGCTTTCTGGAGTTGTCTTGCTAGTGCCTCAGTGCTTTGTAGTGCAAGCTCGCATGTTGTCATGTTTACATTCTGACAGGCTGCCACATGGCCATGGTGCGCTGCTGCGGTCTTCACGCTTGCTGGCGGGCGCTTCCCACTAAGTGCCACGCAAGGCTTGCGCGTGTGCATTTGGCTTCTCGCATTGGACCCTTTGATTGCGCTTGGGGACGGTGCTTCCCGCGCGCGGGGCGCGCGCGCGCGTGCTTTTATGGCTTCATGCCTGCATGCTGCCATGCTGCCACTTGGCACCGGCAGAAGGAGAACAAGGGGACAACAGGAGGACAAGAAGAGGACAACAAGAGGAGAAAAGGAGGACAAAAAGAGGAAAGGACAAAGGACAAAAAGTGGACAACAGGAGGACAAGGTCTGGAGACTGGCGGGTGCCGCGGCCAAGCTGGTGTCAACAAAACGACAGCAGGAGGACAAGAAGAGGTCAAGAACAGGACAAAGCCAGGACAAGAGGAGGAGAAGAAGAGGACAACAGGAGGACAAGAAGAGGATAAGGAGAGGGCACGGAGAGGACAAATGAATAATTCCAACAAAAGGACAAGGACTGGAGACGGGCTAGCAGACGCGTCAAGCTGGGTTCACCAGCACAGCCAAGCGCCAGCAGAAGGAGAACACGCGGACATCAGGAGGACAAGAAAAGGACAAGAGGAGGAGGACAACGGGACGACAAGAAGACAAGAAGAGAGAACAAGAGGACATGAGCAGCACAAGGTCTGGAGACAGGCTGGCCGCGGCCACGCTGGTGTCAACAAAAGAACAGCAGGAGGGTACGTGGAGGAGAAGAAGAGGACACAAAAAGGTCAAGAGGCAGACAAGAGGAGGACAAGAAGAGGACAAGAAAAAGGCAAGAAGAAGACAAGAGGACGAAAAGAGAGAAACAAGAGGACTACAGGAGGACAAGGTCTGGAGACCGGCAGGCAGCAGCGGCCAAACTGCACACCAGAAGAAGGACCAAAATAGGAAAACAGGAGGACACCGCCTGGACACAGCTTTCACCGGCGGGGGCGGAGACTGTGGCCAGTTTTTTCCCAAAAAAGAGAGCCCTAGCAGTAAACTGTTTGGGATATGTATTTTGCGTTTGTCCGCAGTTCTTTACATAAACATATCTTATGTGCTCGCGCCTCTTACCTATATTGCGGTCGTCCGCGCTTTGTGACATCACTACCGTGCAACATAGGTGTCCGCGCACTTTTTTGAATTTTTGCACTTGTCCGCACCCCTTCAAGTCAACGCATATGATCTATACAAGATGCCTTCGTGCCTCTTACCTATAGAATGCGGTGGTCCGCACTTTGTTTGGTTCAAAGCTATCGATATCGTGCAACATAGGCTAACACCTTTTTAAATCAACGTTCATGATGTATACAGCTGGTGTCCGCGCCTCTTACCTACATTGCGTTTGTCAGCGCTTTGTTTAGTTCAGCGATATCATCACTACCATTCAATAGGTGTCCGCACCTTTTAATGTATCTCGCGGCTGTTTGCGTCTTCGTATACGATCTATATACAACAGGCGTCCGCGCCTCTTACCTGCGTTGTGGTGATCAGCACTTTTTTTAGTTCAATGGTTATCATTTTTGTGCCACATAGGTGTCCACATTTCTTTTATATTTTTTTGCGGTTGTCCCCATATTTTAAAATTTTTAAGTCAATGTATGTATACAACAGGCGTCCTCGCCTCTTACCTACATTGCGGTTGTCCTCGCTTTGTTTAGTTCAGCGATATCATCACTACGGTGCAACAGGTGTCCGCACCTTTTCAATTTTTCTTTCATTTTTCTTGTGATTGTCCGCGTCTAGTTAATTCAATGTTTACGATCTATATACAACAGGCGTCCGCGCCTCTTACCTACGTTGCGGTGGTCCGCACTTTGTCTATTTCAATGATTATCACTACCGTGCAGCATAGGTGTCCGCACCTCTTGCGGTTGTCCGCGCCTCTTTAAATCAACATATATATATATATTTATACATACATATTCATGCTCTATTGTTCAAGATGCGTTTGCACCTCTTACCTAGGTTGCGGTGATCCGCTCTTGGTTCAGTTCAATGATATCACAACCGTGCTGCAGGTGTCCGCACCTCTTTTATGCATCTTGCAGTTGTCCGCACCTCTTTAAATCAATACTGTCTACACAACAGGCGCTCGCGCCTCTTACCTGCATTGTTGTTCGCACTTTGTTTAAGTCAATGATTAACACTGACCGTGCAACATAGGTGCCCGTACCTTTTTATGCCCCTTGCGGTTGTTCGCTCCTCTTTAAACCAACGTACATGATCTAATTATATACAACAGGCGTCCGCGCCTCTCACCTACATTGCGGTGGTCCGCACTTTGTCTGTTTCAATGATTATCACTACCGTGCAACATAGGTGTCCGCACCTCTTTTGTGCATCTTTGCGGTTGTCCACATCTTCTTTAATCAACGTATACGATCTATATACAACAGGCGTCCGCGCCTCTTACCTTCGTTGCGGTGGTCCGCACTTGGTTTATATAGTTCAATGATATCAAAACTAGGTGTCCGCACCTCTTTCATGTATCTTGCGGTTGTCCGCATCTCCTTAAATCAGTTTATATGATCTGTACAAGATGCGTTCGCGCCTGTTACCTTCGTTGCGGTGGTCCGCACCTTGCCTATTTCAATGATTATCGCTACTGTGCAACACAATCTGTTCCCACATCTTTTATGGATTTTATGTTTGTCCGCATCTTTTTAAATCAATGTATGTATGCAAAAGGCGTCCTCGCCTCCTACTTACATTGCGGTCGTCCGCACTTTGTTTAGTTTAACGATATCATCACTACGGTGCAACAGGTTTTTAATTTGTCTTGCGGTTTTCCGCCTTTTGTTAAATGTTTATGGTCTATATGCAACAGGCGTCCGCCCCTCTTACCTTCGTTGCGGTGGTCCGCACTTTGTCTATTTCAATGATTGTCACTACGGTGCAACAGAGGTGTCCGCACCTCTTTCATGTATCGGGTTGTCCGCGTCTTTTTAAATCAACATATGTATATATACACGATGTGTTCGCGCCTCTTACCTACGTTGCGGTGGTCCGCACTTTGTCTGTTTCAATGATTAACACTGGATAAATTATCACTACCGTGCAACAAAAGTGTCCGCACTTCTTTTATGGTTTTTGCGCTTGTCCGCTTCTTTTTAAATGAATATATGTATACAACAGGCGTCCTCGCCTCTTACCTACATTACAGTTGTCCGCACTTTGTTTAGTTTAACGATATCATCACTACCGGGCAACAGGTGTCCGCATCTTTTTAAAAGTGTCTTGCGGTTGTCTGCGTCTTGTTAAATGTTTACGGTCTATATGCAACAGGCGTCCGCGCCTCTTACCTTCGTTGCGGTGGTCCGCACTTGGTTTATATAGTTCAATGATATCACCACCGTGCAACATAGGTGTCCGCACCTCTTGTATGATTTTTAAACGTCTTGCGGTTGTCCGCATCTTTTTAAATCAACGTAATTACTTTGATCTATACAACAGGCGTCTGCACCTCTGACCTACGACACTGCGGTGGTTCGCACCTTTTTTTCATCATGCAAATATAGAACTGCGGACTCTGCATTGTGTATCTTGTGCTGATCGGCATACTGCATACTTTTTGCCCTAATTAACTCATGTAAAACTCTCTCCGGTCAAGGCATCAATGATGGGTGTCGCTTCTAGGGATTGGAGTTTGCAGTCAAGCCGATTGCCCTAGCTGGTTTCATTGACTGACGCCATAGCGCATTTCGATCACACCGTTCGGCTTTAGATCGCATGCATCTTCACGGTGAACTGTCACATTTCGACCATGCTGCTTTCACAGCATGATGCTCTGGTGGGATGTAATTTCACATCTTTGACCTGGACTCATTGTGCATTTCTTCAGCCACTCCTGTGCCCCATGTGCTTCATGGTCCATGATGGCGGATCGTGGACTTGGCCACCAGAGGGTTCAATAGGTGGTTTGATGGGCTAACATGCCAACCAATCAAGCTGATCAGTCGTTGAATGCTGAAAGTAGGTGGATGCATACATGACATGAAAGCATGGAGTCTCGACATTGTTGCTTTTCTGATGTATTCTTTGCATTTCTTTGCTGGATGCACGCTCGGAAACTCCATAGGTGCCTATCCTTGAAACCCTTGTTTCCCAAAGGTTTCTTTTTTTCCCCAAGGAACTGAGTTGGCACTCTTGCTCTCGCCCGATGTTTCCTTCCGTTCCGGCAGGTGGATCCGGCGACGCCACCCGCAGAAAACATCGGGGCGATGCGTGTCTCCGAACGAAACCCGGGAGACGTGTGGAGACGAGACGGCACGAACACAGCACGAGAAAAACCGGCCTAAAGAAGAAAAAAAGAAACTAATCACCCAAGTCCATTGACTTATTGAACATGGACAGCTGGAAACGGTGAATGACTGGGGAAACACCAATTTCGTGCTAGTTCCATTTGGACCATTTCTCAGGCTGCACGGGTCCCAGTCGCAGCCTGCTGTATGGGCCAATTGAGCACTAACATCGACCAAGTTCTTGTCCAAGCATTTTCGGCCGAGAAAAGATGGAAACATTGGAACCTAAACATTGGCCAATTCAACACCAACATAGACCAGCCTTAATTGAAGCTATGCACGAACTCAGCCTAACACGGACCACGCCGGTAGGAGTCTTCCAACCCCAGTTGAGGCTGATTAACATGGACCGCGTTGCATACCGTTTGGCGGGTCGCGCATTTGGCCTATGTTAGTCCCCAGGAAATGGGCGCTCCCAAATCCAGACTCACATGAGACGCGACACATATGTTATTTTTGTTATATCGTCATTTCAAATAAATAGGAACGACCTGGAACGACAGACTTCAGGTGCTTGCCTTGAAACACGCCACTTGGGACTCGGTTGGACGTGCTCGTTTGTGGTCAGTTGTTTGCGTGACTCGTTGACACATTCAACATGAGGTGAGCATGGCCAGGGAGTGCTTCTCCCTCTCTTGCAGTTTTACCAAAACATTTTGTGCATCTACCGCCATCAGCAAACCTAGAAGTTGTCTACCTGGGCTTGTGCTTGACATACCTTCCAACATCTGCTAGCCTTGATTGTCGAGTCAGAGTCCATTGGAGCTGAATGTGTTTGCAAGTCTCAGCCGCTACAGATTTGCATCGTTAGTGCTGATTAAGGTCCATGATTTGTTGCATCTACGTCCATGAATAGTGCTGAATGTGTAGTTCCAAGCCATTCTGCATAGTCCATCACTCAAAAACAGATCCCTTGTCCATCACAGCGGGAGTCCATCGCATCAGATTTGTGGGACATGGCACCAAGCTCAGTTGTGCCCTCAGAACCCTGGGAGACATAGTGAATTCCTTACGGTCATGATCAATCAGGGGAACCGAGGTACTGGAGGTACTCATCGAACCTCTGAGCACTTGTGCACTCCTACTGTCTTTAGCCAAGCTAGTCAAGGAGGTTGGATCAGAGGTTATCCCCAGACAGAGTCATTTGGGCACGTATACACAACACATGTATGCAATGAATGAGCTGGCATACCACCCACCTGCAGACTATATGTATAATACTTATGATGTAAATATAGCTAAAAGCACAGCGCACAGTGCACAACCGGCATATGATGTTGGCTTCTGTGTGATATGGAGGGGCCCATTCTTGAGTGGTCGCGGAGAACAATAAGTGGACAGAGTTTCATGAGTTTCATGCTTCAAAGCGCGATGTTGACTGAAGCACTTGTGGGACGTCTACCTTATGGTCAAGCAGCTTAAGGCTTAAGGCCCACCACCGTGGACAAAGACTCATTCAACAGGCAAGTAGCAGAGTCTTTTGGTTTCGACAACCACCGACACAGCGTAGCCAGGGCGGTTTGAGGCCTAGACCACCTAAATGAGTAAGTCATTGAAGGACAATCCTCCCAAGGTTTCGGCCGGTGGGAACAAGCCTGTAGGTGATCCGTTATGCTGATGGGGACGAAGAGGAGAGTTCAGTGTTGGACCTCGAGGGCAGGGGCAGTGTACCTCGACAAGCTTGGACCAGCTGCGATAGACTCCAAAGGCGTGGAACGATCTCCCATCCAAAGACACGCTGTTTCAGAGACCGACTCGAAAGTCCAGCTGGTATGGTACTTGTATTGAGCTATATGACTCTTTTCTTGCCTATTTGAAGGTAAAACGATCAGTTCACCGTGTTTTCAGGTACGTAATCTCGGGAAGGGCCGGTAGGAAGTTCCAAGAAGCATACCACAACAGAAAGTAGACAGATTTTGTGGTAGGTGGTATGTGCGGAAGTGATGTGTGATGATTTGTGATCTTCTGGCCCTTCAATTGAGAAGCCTCAAACACTCGGGTAATTCTAGTCTATCCAAAGATGATCCAAAGACTCCAAGGATATGTTTTTCCTTTGAAATGTTTAAAAGGCAAGACACAAAGGATCCCAACCCAAGCTGGTGTTCCGTGAGGAGTGGCCCATCCAGGCCGACCTCCTCAGAGCCGCCAGTGCGAGACCAAGGTGGGAGCGAGCGGTTGATGGCTTTTGAGCAGTTTGGAGCTGTAGGGTCCGGTTTGCATCGGAAGGAGCCGGCCACCGGTGTTATGATGGCCTCCAACCTAGAAGCAAAAGGAATCTATTAGCAATGGCCTCCAACCTACTAGTCTACTGGCGATGGCCCAACCTAACAGCGGTGGCCTCCAAAACTTCCATATCACCTACTCGCATCATGATCTAGTACAGAGTTGCACATCATTGATGACCATGCTGGCAATGGGGATGGCAACCTATACTATTGTCCACGTGCATGACAAAGGACGCATGACATGTATGCAACGTGATGCAGGCCCAGTCTACAGCGCCCCAGCTACTTCTTCGAAGGCGTGCGTCTCAAAAACTGTGGTTATATATATATATAGGGTCTGTGGCTCAACTAAACGGACCATTGGAGGGATAAGAGGCAGGTGTCGGTAAGAAGGGTCGTAGCATATGCTATCTAGTGCTACCTTATAGTGGTCTTGAATTACAACGCAAAGCAAAACAATATCTTAAACTCAAGCGGATCCCATGAACATCTTACGTCAAACGATGGCGTGCCCTGCAGGCCAGGCTGAAGCATCTAAGATTTGAAGCCTTTTCAAGTGAGCTGATTGAGCCACCGACCAGCTGAGCTTTCTTATGCTGAGGACCTCGACCCGTTTCGTGTGCTTGGCTGATTCCTACAGCATGCCTCACAAATTCAATCCACCAGGCGGCCTCCCACTATGGATAGGTAATGTTCTCGAAATTCCTTTCTTTGTTGGGGATGGTTGGGGGGCTTTACACCCAGAAAAACCAGCCACCATTTTTCGCCCTCATTCGGTCTTGACGTTCATTTTCTTGGAACTTCCTTTTCTGTTTGAACAGTCGGCATCACCGAGAAAACCGGGCGTCACCGGGCGTGTGTACGAAAAACAGCTCTCGGCCTCCATCCAAGCCGAGGCCTGCGAGCACAAGCATTTTGGCCCCGTGAGAGCTTCCCAAAGGCGCGGTTCTCCGCAGGACCCCCAACGGGATACTACTAGTAACAAGAAGCTACGGTTAACAAATGGATATACTCCATGGTCCCAAGCATTTGGAGATCCATGTGTTTTCAGCATAGTCATATTTGGACACTCTGTGCCACACTGTGCATGGTAAGTACTCCTAGAGATATTCTTAGGACAGCAATCGACATTGATGGTGGTTTTTGTTTTGAATGATCGGATGCTCGTCTGCAGGTTTGACACCTGAGATTGTGTAGAATGGGTTGAACAGTTCTTGCCACGTTAGTTGCATTCAGTCAGTATCCCCAAACCCAAAATATCATGGTGGATGACTTTGGGGGACTGAGTATGTAAGACTTATCACCACCACCACCACCACCACCACCACCACCACGACCAATCACACTCAGAACCGCAACCGCAATCAAACATACAATCACACATTTGCATCATTTGCCGACAGTCCATACAAGAGTTCCAGTATTTCTGATATAGACTCCCAAATAGATAGGACAGGTAGATCCCCGCTAAGTGTATTCCATTTGATATAGACTCCCCGCTAGATACCGACTCCCCACTAAAGGTAGGATAGGAAAGGACAGATAGATGGAAACCATGCCACGTCTTGTACTCTTGGCGACCACTATGCCTTCTATTCCGAGGCCGTGTCGGTCCGAAACTTCTGACAGTCTGTGTCGGTCCGTGTCCCTGTCAGGTGGTCGCGTTGCTGGAGGCAAGGACGGCTCCCTGCAGGGGTGGTGAATTTGTGTTGAGGGCAAGGAACTCTAAGTTTGTTAGGAATACTCACCTGTTTAACTCTCGGAACTACCCCATTGGAGATATGAATGATATATAATATAACTTTGTGGCGATGTTCGTCTCAAGGAGAGGCAGCTTTCAAGAATCTCTCGTACATGTGACATTCTCATTCCTGCTGGATCTGTGGAACGTGCGTGCCGTTTTGACTCTGTGCGTTCCGGGGATGGAACCGTTGGAACCGTTTACGAACCTTCCGTCGGCGATCGGACGCTTCCCCTGCCGAGTCGGGTCGGGTCGGAAGGCCTGTGCCAGTGAGCTCTCCGAAGAGGCTTGGCCCCTGCAGCTTTTGTTGTTCGGGGTCCGGGGTTGGCTTTTCAGAGGTGATCGAGGATTCCACGTGTGGCGTTTTAATTATTGATATTGCAGAGGGGTGGTTCCATGTGTTCGACCTCTCCACAACTCTGGGAAGTCATTGGCCCATGATTGATTGCAGACCTGCACGAACTGCACGATTGATTGGGCGGATGAGGAGGTTTTTCTGTAGTAACTGCAACCCAGGTTCGTGTGAAATTCTGAAACCCATCAACAGCGGACCAAACGAACATCTCATTGCACACAACCCTGGCACACCTGAAGATTGTTGCTCCGGCTCCACCTTGCCCTTTGTTGACCCCAATTCTTGGAGCAACCAACATTTCCTCTTAGGGCCTGAAACCTTGAAGAGGGCGTGGCCTGTGGGTGTTTTGATTCTGATGTGTTTTCAAACCCAAGTTCTAACCCAACCAGGAGGACCTCCTGACGACGCAGTGTTCCGATGACTGGTCGTTGGGGCTTTCAAGGTTGCCTTCCTCTCCTGACAGGTTCAATCCCTTCTGGAGGACGCGTTGTCCTCCGAGAGCGGTGAGGCCTGGTCAACATCGCGGCAGCATCGTCGTCGGCCATGGCCCGTAAAGAACTCCCGTTTTCAGAGTCTGTTTTGCCTTTCGGCAGTTGCTGCATGGCCGCCATGTTCCATGCGGGGGTCGCCTCCACGGCATCTATATCACGATCATGCTTTCCAGCATGTCCAGTGGAATGAATTTTGCTGAAGATGCTCCAGGTTGACCACCTTGCTAAATATATGAAATTTTGTGTCCTCGGCTTGGTCCCTAGCGGCCAACACCTGCAGGAGCCACCAAGGAGAGGGACGGATAGCCGGTTTTCTCGCGGTGCCAGGAGTTGCGGATGTCATACATACCTCTTCATATTCCTTGATCACAACCCCCCATGCAACAAACAACGAAATGGAAGAGCTAATTTTTGTAAATTAAAAGGACACTTGTCTTACCAAATCATCTACTAGTCTACTCAAGCAGTAACCACAAACACTCTGGTTTGGTGAAGGTTCAGTTTAGGTTAGCCATTTTGCATTGATATAGAGTCTAGAGGCGAGGTCTCAAATTGGAGATTGCGAAAGAGGGTCTATGAGAACCTTGGGGCCAAGGAGCGTTCCGATGTGCTCAATCCCAAGAGGTTTCCAAATGAATATGCCTCGTGCAGATATGATGATTCTGAGGGTAAGGTTAAGACATGTATATAGAAATGTGGAACACAGACCTGAAAGTCTCTTGCTGACGGCATTCGAGCCACATCCTTTCCATGTCATGCATCAGGGAGCATTCTCCCCAGAATCAGCGTGTCACTCGTCAAGTTCTCGTGGACATGTCGCTGCGAACAAGACATTGGCTCAGACTAGTAACACAGCGCAGCACAAAGGCTTTATTAAGGTCTGTTGCTCCATGGGTCCTGCTCCAACCGGTGTTTGACACAAATCTCAGGAATTTGTGGATGCAACCCAGGATGCAGGGGCACAGCGGCAGTGACCAAGACAAGCTGGAAAGCAAACATTTTCTAAATTTGTTTGGTGATTCTCTCAACATCCGACACTGTCAGACTGTACTGACTGGCAGGCCGCCCTGTTGTATTGAATGGCTGGTTTGTGGTGGATACTATGCATCATACACAGGCACGCTGCATGAAGGTCAGACTTTGTGTGGACATGCTGTCACCGACCTTCACCATCAACGGCTACTTGTATACGGTATACGTATATAACCAGGTCTACAGAACTTATACAACCACTTCATGAGCTACTCTGCTTTGGCCAGGTCTTTGTTCCAGCCATTGACCTAGCTGACATTCCTTTGTGGACGAGCATGAATGGCATCCTTTGTGGACTAGCCATGTCTCCCGTGGGCCTGGTTGCCTACTCCGTGGACCTTTGGAGGACACCGGGTGGACCAGTGAGACCGAGTGCCGCTCGGTGGACCAGTGGGACCGTGAAACGACGCACCGGTCGAGTCATGGGATGAATAAGGTTTGGCTACTCGGATGGATGGGAGATGTGTCCGTCAGAAGAGCCACTGAAGAGTCTCTTAGAGTCTCTTTTTGCATGGAAATGGGGCGGGGGGAAGGCTAGGAACCCAACTAAAAGCAGCAGGGGACTCCAGAGTGTTTGAGCCATTTTTGGTGCTTGCCCTGTGAGTTTACAGCAAAGTAGACTCCAGAAGGGGGAGTGAACGACCCCAAATGTGACAGTGAGCCGGAGTGTATGAGCGTTCCACCAGCTGCACCGTTTCCCAAGGCATTGACCGCACGTCCCCAGCCTTTGCAGGCAGGAGGGGCATGGTACATTAGCCCACTGAGGAGAGAACTTCCAGGACCACTGGCCATCCAGTCAATTTTGCAACTTCCATCTTCTGACTACTTGTGTGGGACTTCAGTGTCAGGGAGTGCAGTCCGGTGTGTTTTCGTGTGTTTCAGGTGTGAACAACGAAAACATCGCGAGGGCTGTGCGACACGTCCGGCCCGGGAGGTCGCGTCGTGCCCGGCACGGCGCCGACGAATGGCCTGGCTGGCGCTTCTGGGGGTTGTACCAAAGGCCGCCGTGTCTTGTCAGTGGGAGCTGGGCCGTCGCCGTGTCTGCACCAATGTGAAAACCCACAGGAGCATCAGAGGTCTGGCCTATTCTGTTTTGAACTTGTCAATGAGTCACAATGGGTCACTGGGGCACACCCTAATTTTGGAGCCATTCTGAAGTAGAACCAGAAACACTTTATGCGCCCCACTTTTGTGGTCGTCAAACAGCAGAGCAAGCACTTTCGTAGCCGAGAGCCGAGGGCCCTCTGAGTCGATGCGGTCGCAATCCACGCCATCCAGTGGGGTTGGAAACGGATATCGTTGCCTTCAGCAGGTGGCTGTGACATGTTGGTGACTTTTGGGATTGAAGTCTTGACTTCCGAGGTGCAGTTCTCTCTGAAAATCTCTGATAGACAAAAAGACCCGGAATGCTCTTCAACTTTTGGACTTGATCTAATCAGATATCATAGATATCAATATATCAATAATGTCATATACCGTCTTTTGAAAAGGACGGTTTCCCAGGAGCGTCGTTGGATTGGACTGGATGTAATGCAAGCTTTTTGGCAGTCCCTCTCTTCGCGGTTTGATTATAGTATAATCAGATATATAATCAGCCTTCGTTTGATGCTAGAAACTGCTCCAACATGTCGGGTGCGGACCGCTGTTGAGCATCCATTTGTTCAGTGAACACACAACACAACAGCCGCCAAGGTCACGCATCGCTTTGGTCCCTAGGACTCTAAGGAACGTGCTTTTCGAGGTCGTGTGAGGATCTCAAAGAAATCATGTCACCCAATTCCTTACATGGAGCCAAAGACAAGTCCCCATGGACCAACAGAAGCCTTCTTTCGACTTTGGTCAACGCGTACATATATATTTTGTTTTTAATAGTAAGTTTCAGCTCATTCATACAATTTTCGATGCAACCTCGAAGTTGAAAATAGACCGGCCAGCATTTTGACAGCTCAAAGACTTGTATACGTGGACTATCTTATATTAAAATTACCCTTTTGTGAATCCTGAATCCTGTTTCAAGGGTCTGAATCCTGTTTCAGTTTAGGGTTTACTAAGGTGTCCGGGTTGCCTGCCCACAGGGGAGCCTGGACATCAGGCTGGGTCCCACGCAATCCAACCCATTGCTCGCCACGCTCAGTTAGCGTCGGCCGCGCCTTCCTCACCCGCGCGGGTTCCGGCCGGCGCCGGTTCTGCAGCGATCGTCTTCCTTCATGGCAGTGGGGACTCTGGCACCGGGCTGCTGGGCTGATGGGATGACTCCCAAGCTCCCAAGACCCACATCACAAGTTGAAAAACCAGCTGTGATGACCTTCAAATTAAAATTGTCACGTGCACTTCCCACTTTAGCTACTAGAACTTTTTAGAGGTGGTGCCGACGTGGACATGACATGAATCCTCTTCGCCTCTGGGCATACCAAGCAGAGAAACTGCTCTGCTTGAGGTTCAAGCGTTACCTGGACGCGGTTGACCCTGAGTTGCTGGAAGAGTTGCAAAGCCAAGAGGTGCAGACCTTTTGGCCTGACAGTGAAGCCCAGCCGTGCCATGACAGCATATTTGTCGGAAGCGGATGTGGAAGGGAGGCCAGCTACAGTTTGCAGGTTGATATAGGTCGGGTTGATCCGTGTTCAGTTGGTTGTCCTTCCACTGAAGCTATCAGCAAGAGATCTTTGTTAACAATCATCATCCACTGAGGGGTGGCCACCGTTCAATCTGAAACTGAGGAGAGGGCAGGCCAAACCCAGGAATGAGGGGGAGAACCGTGTGGTTTTGGATCAAACAAAAGCCATCGGCACTCGAAAAAGTTCGGGTTCAATCGGGCGCTCGATCGAGCGCTGGTGGATGTTGAATCCTGTGATGAACCCACTTCTTCGTGGTGAGATGTGAGCGATCTTCGATGTTCCGAAATGACCCGAAACAGTGACGAGTTCGAAACTGGACGTTCCTGGTGCCGTGACGTTCATGGTAAGAGGTTCCCCCCACAAGACATACTGTACAAGAACAGTGGGTCAGCTCAGGACAGCGACTGGTGACCCTAGGCCCCAAGGCCGGACTTTGTTTATACAAGAAGACTTCAGAGAGGCTGGAATCAAACACAATGGTGATGAAGTGGATGACGATCCTTCGTAGGGGATCTACAATACCGGCAGGCCACCACCTGCACAGTCTGAAGGGACTATGATAGAGAATCAAAAATAGTACACTGTATTGACGTCCTATAGGATTTTTCCCCTTGCAAAGCTTAACCAAAGAAGATGTAAGGACGTCGGTTGAAACTCTCAAGTACTGCGTGCTTTTTGGGGGTATGCTGGGCGGGCCTTAGGTATACACTTGCTGGGGGCATGGTCATGCCCATTTGGTATGACACTTCGCGGCAGTTTGTGAGGTCTGTCTTTTCACTTGAACAAGGCGACCCCCTGGCAGTAGCAGACTACAGGTCTACCGTTTTTGACACCGATAATGATATTGTGTAGTCTCTACAAGTGCTTGCGCTCTCAGCCCCCATGTTGGGAATGTGTACAAGACTTCTGGCCACATCCCAAGCTGGAAGCCTTTGGGCACCTTCATACGATATATATATATATATAAGTTCGGAACCATCACCACTGACTGACGGACAAAGTCCTGCACCATGTATTGAGATATGGATTTTGGATTCCCCACAGACTGCTCACCTGTTCTGGCGTATCAATCGTAGCATTCTAAATTCAAGAGTAGTTGCAGTATTTGATTGGTCAAGGACATGTCGATGAACACAGTTGGCTTGGGGATGGGAACCTTTTTGGCCAATTAACGACCAAACAGCGCTGGACATACTCTTCCAAAGGAGGTTCTTTCCTCCACACTGAGCAGAACACCTCTGTTTTCCCAGAAAGCTTCCTAGAGTCAGGAAAACCAGATGGTGCAGCAGATGTTTGCCATCAACACTCAGGACCGCTCCGGGCTCCCACCCAGTGCGCCCGAGAAGACTGACTCTGTGGAGCGCTCGGTGCAGCGGTTGATGCAGCTGATTCAGGAGGCTCGGCCGGGGTGGAATCCAATGGCCAGGTTTGTCTTGCATATCGGCCAACTTTCAGGAGGTTCAAGCCCAAGCTTGTACCTATATGTAAACGAGATCGCGAGATTGCTAATTCAGTCGCTCGAGTTGGGTTCACGTTGGCAGGCCTTGGCATCCCCTGTCCTCATCCTGTTTCGAGGGTCGTCATGGGCAACTGGCTAACTGGCTTCTTTGGCCACCTCGAAGCTGAGCGATGCAATGCCAGGTA